TAAGTAAACCTAGCGCCAGAGTATCGCTATGGTAAGCAAAGTGAATTTTAAGGAATGCATTTATTCTATTATATAATTCTATTATATAATAAGTTTAAATGTAATGCAAGAAAAATGCGTATAATTTAATATTCCGTACAAGGAAGTCATGTGGTGTACACATCAGATTTTTTTAACTTAATGAGAAAATTTTTTGGATTGCGATTGAGGATTCGGGCGATTTTCGAAAAGAATCCTTTTAGGTGTTATTGAGCGAAATAAAAAAAAAAAAATGCTTTTGTCCAGAAGTTCTTAAATCAAAGCTTGAGTTGCGGCTACAAGAAAAATTTTTCCTACCTGTAGCTATTCAGTTTTTCTTCATGGAAAGAGCCTTAATCTTCTGAGAGAAAGAAAATTCCGACTTTCTGTCTTTTCTGCGGAAATGGAGAAAAGTGCAGGAGTTGCAACAGAACTCTCTATTAGGACCCGGGAAAAAATTGATGATGTCTGCCGATAAAATACGATATTATTATTCATGATAAGAGGTTGCCTCTCTTTATTGAGTGATTTTATTTTTTTATCGGAATTTTTCTCTTTCTGCACCGTTCGCCGTTCGGTTCCGTTTTTCCGTCCCCTCCTTTTCCTTTCTATTTTTCTTTACTGTGGAGCCGAATGACTGCAAAATTACCTTTCAAAAACATCGTTCGTTTTAAAAACATTGTTAATCTTTTCGAGAAAATGCTTGCTTGAATGAATGTTCTCATGCAAATGTTCCGCCGAAGTTGCCTGTGCAGGAATACGATGTGATGTTAGGGAAAAAAAAAAAAAAATGGTAAGATGAAATTTTCTTCTTGATTTCTTTTTAATGTAATTTTTTATGCGTGTGTATTTTGACCGAAGTGCGTAGGATAGATTTTTTAACCTCCCTTACCCCCCCCTCGATTTTCTTACTTAAGAAATTGGTGTTTTGTTTCCGGAGTTTTTTCCCATTATTGTTGTTACATCATGTGGAATGTAAAGTTAATAAGTTTTAGATTAAGTTTCCGAGCGTGTGTTCATTCCCCTGTCTCCTCGCCTGCCCCAAAGTGTTCTTCGCCAGCTCTAGATTTGTTTCCTAGAGAGCTTTGAGTTTGTGATCAAAACTTTTCTAATGTAGACGTTAACGTGGTTAGATATGAGATTGAGAATATTTTATCATCTCCAAATAACGTGATTTTTTTTTTGATAACTTAACTTTTTTTTTTTTTTTTTTTTTTTTTTTTAAATATTTCGTACTTTTTCTCTTCACTGCGCAAGATGAACTACCTTTAATCTCGTATGTTTACCTTTCAGCTTTCTTCATTTCCTCTTGATTTATAAGTTTCTTGAAGTATTAAATTGTTGTCTTTCTTATGTTATGTTATGCACGCAAATTTGCTTCGTTATTTTGTTCTGTCTCTTTCCTAAACGCTGCCAGCTTTGCATCGGAGTAAACTCGTTTTTTCTCTTTCTTGATATTCTAAATTGCAAAACACGTTCTGTAGCTGAGCTGCTTCTTGAAGGTTGCATGAAATGTCTTTTTAATTTAACGTCAAGTGTATTTTAGCAATTTAACCTATTAACTGCTATGATCCCCATTTGGGGATTTGCCTTAGAAGCGGAAATTTGGTAAATTTAATTAGGTTGGCAATAATGTTTACTTTTTTACAATGATGTTTAAACCTTTCTTAAGCTTTTGCATGAGTTGTTGAGTAGTAGTTGTTTAAATGAGTGAGCTGGAGAGTATTATCTATGAAAAGAAGTAAAATTTTTGTGAGTTTCAAGATTTCAACATTTTCAAAACGCGGTATGTCATATTATTATCTACATCATTTCCAACGCGTGTGCACTGCCGTGGCTATCTAATGGTTTTAGAATATATTTACTAGCAATTTACTGTCAATGTGAATTTTATTTTCCGGTGAGAGCTACTTGAATGTCGGTCCCCATTTGGTGCCCATGGCAGATTCCATCTATAGTTCGGTTTCCAGTCTCTGTGTCAATCTAGACACCCAGAAATAAATGAAAATTGAGAGAAAAAAATCTGATGTGTACACCACATGACTTCCTTGTACGGAATATTAAATTACACGCATTTTTCTTGCATTTTATTTAAACTTATTAGATTGAATTAAACCTACTTCGCCGACAGCGCATAAACCACTATAATTCTTTAAAATTCACTTTGTTTACCATAGCGACACTCTGCCGCTAGGTTTACTTAACAGTATTATATTTCGTTCATATTATAACTCAGAATGCACAAAATGTATATCATTTAAAGAATTATCTAATCGTTGCCACATGTTCTATTCAAATAGTATAATAAAGTTAGAACTATGTATAAAAGAAATTAAGCAAACAAAACAAAAAAGAAACAGTTTTTCACAGACGATTGAGTATTTCTCATTCAATTAATTCAGTTCTCACTTCTCTCACTTCGCGAGAAGGCAAAAATACAAAAAAACTCAAAATATTTATATTAAAAATTACGAAGTACATCTCAAACGCTTATTTCCTTATTTCCTCGAAAAAATTCCAGAAAGAATTAAGCATGATTTAATTGGCAATAATAAATGAATGCGTTATCTTTGTTGTTGCGAAGCTAAGTTTCTCTAGATTGGCAACAAATCCGCTAATCTCCTGTTTCAAATGTAAACATCAACGGCGCCATTAAAACAGGCTTACCGCAATTAAACAACTTTAAAATTGCTGATTTCTAATTCTAAAAATATTGCACACAGATTTACTAAAGGCATAAAATCCTTAACCGGAAGATAAAAACAACATAATTCAATCATTTTTAAAGCAAAAATGTACAATTTACAAACATATAAGAGTAAAGAAACTGAGATCACTGAGCCGGGTAACAGAGTGGATATATATATAAATATATTTATATACGTTTGGTGCGGCCGATTGCAACCAAAATACGAGGTGCACATCTGCACGTTATAGCAGTCCTATATGCAAAATTTCAACGTTCTGAAGCTACTCGTTTTTGAGTTATGCGAGATACGTACGTACATACGTTCGTACAGACGCAACGAAAAATTCTCTTCAGAATTCATTTTAAAGCAGTTTTATAATTTTTTTTGAAGGAAAAGAGTATTTTATTCTGTCCTTACGTACAGATATCACGCAAAAACATCATAAATTGCATTCGATAGCGGTCAAAATGGATATTTTCGTTGAAATATGCTGCCTGAAACTTTTCGCGATTACAATACTTCCTTTTTACTTCGTACAAGGAAGTAAAAATCAAAAGCAGTTAATGGGTTAAAAAGTTGTATTGTTTCTAAGATTTTTGCTTGTAAGTGTTTTATAATGACGAATCACGTGTAAATATCACTGTCGTGTGATAGTTTCGTTTTGAATACCTGATTATTTCAGTAAATTCCCAATTCCTGTTATACTAGCAGTTATAAACAATACTTTACAAATAGTATTTCTAAAGAGGACAATAATATGACACCTTGGCGAGCACCAAAAAATTATTAAATGTTTCTGGTATCGAACCAGAATAACACATTGCATTGCTCTGTTTGCAAAATGACTGTTGTTCCAAAATGGGTTCAAAAAGGGACTGCGCTTTTTCCAAAATGGGTTCAGAAGGGATTTTTTTCGTGACGTCTGTACGTACGTGTAAAACGAGTAGCCGTAGAACGTTGTGATTATGTATATGGTACTTGTATGTATGTACTTTTGTATATGGTACATGTAGTTCTGCACCTCTTTTTTTTGTTGTAATCGGCCACACCAAACGTATTTGTAAAGAATATATACCGACTCCGTTTACCGGGGTGGCTGAGCTTATGTTTCTATTCTTATATGTTGGTAAATTGTGTATTTTTTCTTAAAAGTGATTGAATTATGTTATTCTTATGTTTCGGTTAAGGTTTTTATGCCTTTCGTTAATCAACACGCAATAATTGTAAAATTATCAACAATTTAAAAGTGACGCTAGGCCTAACGAGATTGCCATCTGTTTACATTTGAAACTCTTAGTAAAATAATGAAATAGGTCAGTTGGTGCAGCAGCTTCAGTCTTTTTGCGCTGTGGGGCCAGAAGTTTATTTTCAGTTTTGTGTTCCTGTCAATTGGCCAAATTACTTTTTTTTTTTTTTTTTTTTTTCCTCCGAGTTCAAGTGGAGCGTAGAAAAAAAAAAACCTTAACAAACCCTTTTCGGCGATCGTTAAAATCTGAAAGCTTTCAGATTATTTACTTTTCCCCCAGCCTAAAGAGGCGTTAGCCTAGAAGGGCTCTTGGTCTCGAAACAGCATTTTTCTCTGAATCACTTTTCGAATTGTTGCCACGAAATGTTATCGCCCTGTATTATATTCAGAAGAATTAAATAATGAAGAATCTGCATGAATGTATGGATGTTTCTTGTATTATGAAAAAACAACGCTACCTACAGCCATCGAGTTTTGAGCAACGTAGTCCTCCACCCAATTGCGGGCAACTGGAAGCCCTAATTTTGAATTTTTTTTTATTATTATCTATTGCGTATTTTAAAAAAAATTTAACGAATTTTCTATTAACAAAGTTAACGATTTGAAAGCGAGAAGTGGTAACACTGTAAGGAATAAAACATTTTTATCTCCAGCCCTCTATCGGAAATTATAAGATATGCTGTTTTTAAACATTTTAGCCGAAAAGGGCTTGAGAGCACAAATGCTCTCGAAACATGTATATTTGTAAATGGGGGGAAAAAAGCACCCTTTGAGTGTAATATGAAATCTTTTATCTTTTTTTATTATTATTATTATCTTTAGTTCAAAGATTTAATTGTGTGTTTTTAATAATCCGTGTGTTTTACATTAATTAGTCGTACTTCATTTGCAAAACTTTTATGTTTCGTCAAATTTTGTGGGAACCTGAGTACAAAATTATTGCAGTTTCCCTTATTAGCTTGTTTTAAAATTATTTATATATATTCGCCTGTTTTAAATTGTGTTTTTTTTTTTTTTTTTTTTTTTATATATATATTTACTTCCAGGAACCCAAAGACACGATTTAACATCTTGGATGAGCTTTACTTCTGTTTACGAATTCATTGATGCAAAATACAGACGAGCCTTGCTCAGCGCGAATGACCGTGATCTGTGAAGAACGAAGCTCTTCTGCAGTATTTTTTACCCATACCGTCCATATGAGAATTCCTCAAAGAAAATACTGGGATGATTTTTCTGGAGATGCTCATCAATATTCCTTTCATTGTCTGTATGACTATTATTCGTTGGATCTCACAAAAAATCTGTATTGTAATTAATTAATATCGCAATTCGGAATGTTTGTTTTCCTCGTCAATGTCGGTAGATGGCGCAACCTGTTCTTCCAGTATTATTAAAATTTGTCGCGCGTCTTCCTTTTTAGTTATTTTTTGCTTTTGCTTCTTCTTATCTGCTAGGGAAAATTTTTTTGTTGTTGTTAAAAAATGGATCTGTAAAATATTAAAAATGTGAATATTTGTTTGTTAATCACATCATGTAACGAGGAGCGTGGGTAAGTCTTTCATCATTATGTTAGCCTTTGTAAAGATATTTGTGCTATGTTTTTAAATGTCAATAAAAAGTCGTTTTAATTTTTGTCTAAAAAATGTTTTTTTCTTGTTAAAATATTACTTGTTTTGATGTAAACTAATAAAAATAGTTATTTATATTCTGCTTGGGAATATTAAAGGATTCATTTATATTTCACCAAGTTTTTACATCATGTGACTCTCTACATTAAGAATTTTCCGAATTTTTCCAGATGATATTATTTCAAAAAATTAGCAGAGTTTTCATTTATCAATATTTAATTATTTAAAATAACAAATCCTTCTAATACACAGAACGATTGCGTTCTAAAATAGTTTATATGATATGTATTCATCCGCTCCGAGTATTTTATTGAAGAATTCTTCGTTACATTTATCAAAGAAGTAAATGGTTTGCTTGTTCAGCAACTTGGAATTTGATTGTAGATTTTTTAAAGCAGCTGATGTACGTGTGAGTAACACGTGCATACGAAAATATCCCTAACATTAACTAGGAAAGCCGAAATCTTAGTTAAGATAGACATGTTACAATTAATAATCGAATTTAATAAGGAAAAGTAACAGTTGCCGGGTACATTATAACGGCTTAAGAAATTCAGAGCACAGTACAGATGCGAGTACACAAGTTCACATATCTCGGCGAAAACAGAGATGCACACATTTGTTGAAGTAGTTCCACTTGACTGCCGGGGAAAAATCTTCTCTCCCCGTCAGCCTGTAGGTTTGCCAAACGGGTTTACTGTTTCGCCAATTGGCGCTTTTCTGTACAGTTTTTAAGTCCGTATCGCCTATTTGGCGCTGCCGCTGCACAGCTTTATATTGGCATATAATTTGAATAAAATTCTGTCGATATCCAGAGACATGAATAATTAAAATAATCTTTTGTTGCTCCTAAAGAAGAAAGCCCTCTAACCAATAGTTTTATTCAAAACCTGCAGTAATCTCAGAGTTTTCCCTCTTGATTTTAAGTTAAGTAATGCTATTTTGAGTACAGTAAAGCACACAAGGATTATCTGCTTAAGAGGGATGACTTCGTGGAGGACTTTCTCAGGGAAACTAGATGGAGGAAGTCAACTATACAGCCAATCCATTCGCTTGGAATAGAGCTCAGCTGAACTCCCAGCATTCTGCGGTCTTAACCACTCGACCGTTGGTTGAGCAATTGCTTAATTTTAATTAAACTTTATATTGACCTTCTTTTTCCCAGCTATATTATTGTACATTTCTGAATTTAGAAATTTTATGGATTTTTTCCGATTATCTGCAAATTGTTTATTATGGAAATATATACTTATTAATGTCTTTTTACCAAGTAAACACAGGTTGGTTACTATGTAGAATTGAAAGAAATGTGATTATTCTGAAAATGGGAAAATCTGTGGTCTGTTTCCCGTCAATTTTAGGTTTATGTCCGAACCAATGTTTTCATTAATTACATATCTGCTTAATTGTAATATTTATGTCACTAAAGAATTTTTTATCATACAACTGTCATGTGTCAAAATATCACTACCACCACCACCACACTTAAATAAAGTTTTCCTCCGCGCGTATCTGCTCTGCCTTATTTTCTCCTGCTGATTTTAAAATTCTCTTTCATGAGTTAATTGTGTTGCATATGCTTCCAAACAATTTGGAATTTGGGGCAAGCAATTTGGGGCGCAGTTGGGCTGCTGGCTTCTAAACCTTTTTTGCCTTATACACCCCTTTCAGCATTGCTATAAGATCATTTTTCCCTCCCTTCTTTCCAAAGCTTGAAAAATACATATATACAGTAAAAATCGTTTAAAGCGAAACTCAGGGGACTGAAATATTTTTTCGTGTTAAAGGATATTGAAGAAATGTATATATATATTATTTACTAAAGAAATATTGATTATATTATCTCCTAATATAAATTTAGTAGAATGTATCAAAATGAGGGAATCCATAAGTAGGAAGTTAAATTCCGAAAAAAAATTTTTTAAAGGAACTTGAATGTAAATGATGAAAAATCTTTTTAAGGGGACTTGAATTTAAATCATGAATAACAAAATTTCAAACTTTGAAAAAGAAATTAAAGAAACAAGTAATTGTCGCTATTAATCGGAAATTAGCTGACTTTTCAAGGGGAAGAAACTAACTTCCGTTCAATGAACAGCAATTAATGAAATGCGGAGGTGTTTCGTCTTTTACACCGTCTTTACCGTAAGAATGATGATGCCAAACTGGCAAATTAAGTTAGGCCAAAATTCAATGAATTTCAGATCATTCTATATATAAAATATATACTATTAATAAGCTAGGTTGTAAGTACAATACAAAAAGACCAATTTGGTCAAAAAAAATTTTGCGCAATATGCTGCACAATTAAGGAAATGAGAAGAGAAATTGTAGTTAGCTCGCCAAAAATTACCAGGAGCTGTGGCTCCAAGAAAAAGTTCAACACAGTTTAAAAAAAAAAAAAAAGGTACTTACGTATTAACGCAACCAGGCCAAAATTCGCATAAATTGCCAAATTTGGCGACCCTACTTACGGCAACCCTACGTGTTATACGTAGTTTTGTGTGGAGATTCACAAAATTTTCCTGCATTTTCGTGCAAATTTTTGTAATTTATGAGAAAATAGCAGTGTACATGGATAAAGTTAAGAGTGTGCGCAATGCCATTTTTGTGCAATTCTGGGATGTTTTTTTAAGTAAAACTAAGTCGACGTGTACATGGTTATGGCGAATACGGTTTTCAATCAGTGCTAAAAGCAATAGCGAAAAGATTTCCGCCGAAAAAATAATTCTGCAACTTATTCAAATTCGAAACCGAAAGGGTTTAATAAGTTGCAGAATTATTTTTTCGGCAGAAATCTTTTGGCTATTGCTTTCAGCACTGATTGAAAACCGTATTCGCCATAACCATGTACACGTCGACTTATTTTTACTTAAAAAACATCCCAGAATTGCACAAAAATGGCATTGCGCACACTCTTGACTCTGTAAGTATCCATGTACACTGCTATTTTCTCATAAATTACAAAAATTTGTACGAAAATGCAGGAAAATTTTGTGAATTTCCACATCCTCTTTTTACAAAACTACGTATAACACGTAGGGTTGCCGTAAGTAGGGTTCAACTTATTCAAATTCGAAACCGGAAGGGTTTAATTGCTATTTTATATTTTAAAACAAAATAATATAAAAAACTGTATTAAAAATTATCTGTAATTAATAAATGTACATTTTCTTTCTATTCATACTTTTTTACTCAAAGTTACAAATAGCGCCAACCTGGTTGCGATAATACGTAAGTACCAAAAAAACAATGACATTGAAAGGTGAAAAATTAGGCTACACGCGAAATAAAATGTAAAATATAAAACACAGTAAAACTTTAATCGTTGGAAACAAGTTAATGGCAAAAATTACAGTAAAATACCTATCGATGTGACATATTAAAACATATAAAAAACCAATCGATGGAGCAAGTTAAAGATAAAAATATGAAAGCAAACTTCTAAATTTAATTCACTATGACCTCTTTTATTTTTACCTTTTTATAGTCATTTGGGAACTTCATCTATTTGTCCTAAAAATAGCGCTTTAGTTTAAACTGCATCATTCAAATTAATCATGCGATCTTACGTAACCCTTAATGCAGATGCCTCTTGACCAATCACCAAATTGCAAACCAAAACTTTTCTCTTCGCTTGCTTCCATCTTGCATAACTACGCACTTCAGCTTTGCGCTCTACTGTGCTAAGATGTAATTTCGCTGGCTTGCTTTCTATCTCAATAATATAAAAAATGTAAATCTGTGGAAAGCCACGACTAGAGTGCTAAGTGATCTGTGGCCACATAATGTGAATTTGAAATAAAAATGGAATTAAAACTGCCTCGACTGCCAAGTTCTTTAGATATTACCAAGTTAACATTAGTAGCACATTACGCAATCAAAATACAGCATATGAACCAAACTCGCAGATTTTTACTCACACTGCGATGTACTCGTCACCGAATTCCAAAGCCAACTGATGAGAGATGAGTGTTTATTTTGTGTGGCGTTTGTAGGGGTGGAAGGTGAAAGTAGCTTAGGTAAACAAGACTGGCTCGTGTCGCAGGCTATTCCGAGGATATTCCGAAGCCAAATTAGCCTCCTTTCTACGAAACATGCAAAACAATGTCTCTTTCACTTCACACCCCTCTCGCCTGCACCTTAAATCTCGTCTGCGAGGCCGGTGTTTTCCGTATTTCGTTCATTCCCATAGATGATGTCTCTTCGTGTTAAACAGAATGCATGAAAATAGGTAGTAGTTAGTCGAGACGGTTGTATTATTTTGTGTTAACCGATATTTCGTCTTAAGCGTTTTCGCGTTAAACGTTGTTAGATTTAGATTATAAAATATGTTAGAAAATAACATGTTTATAATTTAAACAGCAAAAAGTCAGAAAATGTTGGTAAATACCAGAATTTGAATAAGAGTAATAAACTAAAACTACTATTTAGCAGCTAAATTAAAGGCTGCCAGCATTCCTCCACTGACAATATAAAATTACCTCCGTTGGTTGTGTCTCTTAAGGAAAAATTCACGCAAAATATGAAGTAAATAAGAAATAAATTAAAATTTGGGACTGTAAGTTACACTTGTTCGGGAGCAGGACTATGTGCGTTCAAAATTTGATGGCTCTAGTTGTTACCATTTATCCACAGTACGAGATACAAACGTACTTTCATACATACAGATTCTTCATTGTTTTTTATATCTAGACAATGCTTTTAGTACCACAATTAGAACTTTTTTTAATGTACTTACATTTAGGTCTAGAATTTAGTGCCCCCATTTTTGTTGCCAAAAGGAAAATGTAATAATTTTTTTAATTTAGAAGATATATATATATATAAGAAATTAATTAAAATTCCGAAGTGTATTTTGTAATTGTTGTATATTATATACAAGGTGTTTATAAAGTCCCGGACCCATTTTCTAGATTAAAATTAATAATATGAATGGTTAGATAGGCTCAAAAAGTTTCATGACCCTTGTCAATGAACTTCTACGTGTGCCTCCTTCGTCGCACGGAGAATATCAAGTCGATATTCCATTTCACGCCAGGTACCGGCAAGCATGTCGGCATCCACAGAGGCTATTGCGGT